GAGAAACTGCTCTATTTTAAAACCATATATATATATATATATATATATATATATATTACTGCTACATCTTAAAAGGAACACAAGCAGGCTTAGCATTAGTCACACTGTCACCACAGGGAATGTTCATACACAGCCTCTCTCACACACACGAGAGCGAGTAGCATAATTACAGTATTATTACTACATGAAAGTACATCATGTATAAGCACAATGTAACCTAAAGAAAATGACCAGCACGTGTGCGCGCGCACACACACACACACACACACTTACGTGCACTCATGCAAAGAGCTCCTGATCTCTTTAAAGATTTTAGCAGAGTAGACCTTGTTAAGTTAGTGCAAATTAGAAGCAAAATATTGATGTTGTGGATCGATCCTTCTCATCTGCTCCCGTTGGACTGCGATAGTCTTATAAATTATCTTTAACAGGGGAGACACAAATATACAATCACTCCCAAATCCTATTTCAGCTGCTATTGTTCCTTCTGCTGTAGAGTTGACTCGCATCTCTCTAAGAGGTTTTAAAATAGAGCAGTTTCTCTTATTGAGCTGCAGTACCAATGAAGACCACCAGGTGTCTGTAGAGTAAAAGGGATGTACTCAAAGAAACGGAATCAGACACTAAATGAAGACTTTTAACCGACCCGTTCTGCTGCCCACTGCTGTGCTGTTTTAAAATGGCTTTTGACACACACACACACACACACACACACACACACACACACACACCTCCATGCTAAAAGCAGCATCAGCAGGCTCCAATACAGCATAATTAGTCACACTGTCACCATGCTGAGAGCAGCCAGAGGAAGCAAAGGGACAATCAGTTCTGAACCAACATGTGGGAAGATTAGATTACAAATATTATAACTAATGCTGAAATCACATCAGGTTGTGTTCACATACACACAGACACAACGAGCCATTTCAACATTTAATAAGCCTGACGAGGAGCGACTTATAAAAACTGCTGGTATAAAACAACAACTGCAAACTGTATTTAAAAGCTCCTTGCTATTTTGATTGTGTAACGTAAGTGAGTTACTGAACGAGTAATATTACTTTGGGCGAGTAATATGCTACTTTTTTGACTCATCCTTTATGTATTTGTATTTGATATGCAGGTATTAATACTAAATTTGGCCTATTGCTGATTTAAACTTGCTTGTATTTATTATTTTCTTTTTTTCACATGTATTTTTCTATATAGTTATATATATTTTCCAGATGATTTTTGTGATTCTTACACATAATTGACATTTTTGTTGTTATGTTTAATATATGCTTGTTTGATATTGACCTTGATGTTTGTAGTTCCTTTGTCAGAGAGACCTGCTCTCTCCCACACAGCGTCGTTTAGCTCTGCTCTGATTGGACCAACTTGAGTGATTCAAACATGCAGATCACCGTCACCTGAGTGATGAGTGCGTTTGTGTCAATATACTGCTTGTTCTGCTTTGTGATGGTAAATTGATGATGCCTGACGAAGATCTCTGTCGGATAGAAATGTTGCACAACTAAAATAGCCGGGAGCTTTTACTGCAGTGTGCAGATCTTTCGTTTCATTCTTGCCTCCCAGTATCCAAAATTATACATTCGCCACTTAGGAAGTAACAAATACATGTATCTAAGCTGGGATTTAAAACACCAAAACTATACATTAATGAGGAAGCTGCGTTTAGCTCAGGCCCTGCAGCAGATTCAAATCGGGCAAATGAGTTGGCGTCATCTCCAAGTTGTATCCCTGCAAAAACAGGCTCCACCTCGTTATCCGAGTTGCTCGTGTTACGTATGAACAGCAACGGGTTGTGGTCGGTGTGTAAACCTTAAGAACCAACATAAACGTCGAAGTGGTGAGAATTGAGTCAAATAACACTGCGGATATTTCAACTTGGAATTATAACGCATCGAAATTGTAATGTAGATATCTGCCATTGAGTTTGAGTAGAAGTCAATGGTAAAGGTTGATTAGTTGTGATTAGGTTACAGATATCTACAATGAAAATGTCCACGAGTAAGAAATGATGGACTTCATAAATAAACATCTTGACGTGTGAGAGGAATGAATTGTAGATATCTTTAATTAAAATCGCTATTATTCAGAATTGCATAATGCATGTTTGGGATTGTAACTATTGAAAAAGCAGTTGCTGATATGGCTGCGACAGCTACTGATTAGATCTGACAAGGTCTTGCTGTGCAGGCCCAACCCGTCGTATGTACGTAGCTACTGTAAAGGCCACATTTCACTTCACCCACATGTTCTGTTTTGAGTTTCATGACCGTGCTTCCCAGAAGCTGTTAATGTGTTATGAGTACACGTTGACCCATAGAAAGTCTTAAAAACTCACGTACAGCCACACTTGCTGCTTAAGCATGTAAGCAAGTAATCTGTGCTGTAAATACCTTCTGAGTGTATCATAGGTCACTGTGTTGTTCAATCAACCACTCCATTATGTGTAATCTTGGTGTCCTGTAAAAGACAAATGTTACCTTGTAAATGCCGGCTGTATGTTGTAGTGTTGGCCTGCTGTCAGCACTGCGTTTGTATATTGCATTCAGGCATGAAGGCCACTTTATCCACACTACAGACACTTTGAGTTCACTGCATTTCTGCTGGTTGGCTAATAGCTTATGTGTGAACCAGTGGCAAATAGAGCTAAAAACAAATCAGGCCGGACCCTAAGGGAACCCGCATAGATTCTGTCCGAGCCCGACCCGAGCTTGAACCACAGCAGCAGATTTGGGCCGAGCCTGATTTTAAAAAAACCCAGAATTTCCACTGTAAAAGGTAAAAAATGTATTACGAGCTAAAGTCAACTAGTGTTTTGAGTGCGGTATAGACATTTGTGACACGATCTCTGACATGTGCCCTCTCCCACCGAGTGTTCAACCCTAAAGCTGTCGTCTCACACACTATGAGGTCTGCATTCAAAAAAACAACAATGATGTGAAATTTCGGCAAACTTGCCCGAGGGACCTGTACAACCACACGATTCTCTCCCTGAACACCTGTTGTTGATGTTGTTATTGATGATGATGAATATTGAATAACAATACGTCTTGACTTATTCTGTGTCTGACAGTAAAGGGGAGGCGGCAGCTATCGAGACGGAGCTACTGAGGGACTACAGGTTTGGAGCACAGCAGCTGATAGAGATTTGGGGACAAGCGTGCGCCCTCGCCATCACTAAGGTCTGCACCACTTCTATTTTCCAGAACTTCTTTATTGATAGCCTGCATGTCTTTTGTTTTTTGTCTGTCTTGCTTTAAATCATGGATACGTTGAGTATCGACATTTTTGCATTTGGTGAGAGCGAGTGACGTATGTTGAAAGTTACGTGGTACGATGATGCGTATAACAACACAAGACTTTCACCCAGGAAACTGCTGTTCGTGTCCTGTGTGAAATCAAAAGTAGACCTTGTTAGGTAACATTAGTACACTTGTGACGTAACGTTATGTAAGAAAGTCCACTAACGATTTATCTTACGTAGTTACAGTATTATTTGAACACAACCTATCTTTTTTCTAACCTTTTCCAAGTAGTGTTATTGCTCAAACCTTGTCAAACATTTCACAACATTAACCGTGTGACATTGTGCGTTTCAGCAAGCGTGACACTGACAGAAAATGTTCTGCCAACAGGGTTGCTGTAAAAATAAAAGCAGAGTAAAATAACATCATTACAACATTTTTTTTATTGCAGATTTAGTATTTATTCTGAAATAAACCTTTGCTTTAATGTGATGCACAATGCTTTTATCTTTGGACCATTAAACCAGTCACACTGAACAGCAGTTGCCGTGTGTGTGTGTGTGTGTGTGTGTGTGTGTGTGTGTGTACTCTTACAAACCAGCAATTATATTTTGTGATATGTTTTCCATTAATTGAAGAGATTTATCTTCTCTCAGCTCTGCTGTGTCTTTGTATTGAAACAAAACGGGAAAGTTAAACATTAATAACTGTTTGAAAATGACCCACAAAGCTTTCTGTCCTTTCACCAATCTCAAGTCATGCAATTTTTTTCCAATTAATGTTCTTTTCTGCATGAAGTCATCCGACCCACTACAAGCTCAAGTCAAATTAAAGCAAACTTTGGCCTCAACCAACGCAGTGCTGTGCAAAATCAGTTTGATAGCCTACACTGTGTATCACTCAGCAGATCCTTGGTCAAGGTCACACTTTTTATCCACATTCTGTCACAGTGGGCCTCAGTAATCAGGAGAAAACTCAGCAATATGCTGGTGTGATGTCTGATAGTAGAAGAGGGCAAAAAGTCACAGCTGCTGCTACTTATACTTTACTAATTTGCATTAACTTCCATACTAAAATGTCTGACTATTATGTGGAGGAACTGTTCTAACTTTCTGTGACATTAGCCTCCAAACATTTGAAGCGACTCCCCTCGGGGCAGAACACCTGAGCTCACTCTGTGGCGGCGCTCCTCAACCACAGCTCTTCTTCTCTGTGGTCTGGACTGTGTCAGGCCAAGAGTATGTGTGTGTCAGTGGAGGGCTGTTGGGAACACATGTGGTTCCCTTTGACCAGACCACTGGCTTGGTTTAACGGCACACTGGTTTCCTCAGTGGGCTCTTCAACAGGCTGTGATGAATAAGAGTCTGAGCTGCAAGACACATGAAACCCTGCGCTGCTGTCATGAGGGAAGGCTGAGGAGAAAAAGGAGAGAGGTTAAACGAACGAGTGATTTACAGGAAAAGTTACAGAAAACACAATGATAAATGTGATGGCAACAGTTTAATTGGATAGCTTAAATATCTCTCCTCAGCAGAAGCAGGGAAACAGGAACAGACATGCAGATACTTACAATAATAGGCATTATAAGACAAAGACAAAAAAAGGTGTGAGAGTGAACCAAAACGGTAAAGTTGCTGAAACTTTCTATAAAGCTCTGAAAAGCTGAGGAGAGCTGCAGATTCGGGGGATAAATATCTGTAGGTCCATCACTAGGAGTGACACTTTAACGTTACACTTTGCCAAACTTGTTTCCAGCTGCCGCAGGAAGAAGTTTTCTATCTAATGGAGCATTTAACGAGCTAATAAGCCAGATATGTCCCTCAGCAATTGGTGGAGACCAAACCAGAGCTAAAAAGAGTGATCGCCAGGCAACCTGGTTTACTAAAAATTACATTCTCATGTTACAAAACTGCATTGTCAAACGCGTTTTGAGGGAACATGTTTTCTCCTGGATTTTGTTTGTTTTTCACGTATCACAAATACGTTATAATCAAAGTCTGCGTTGTTCGTGACCCGTGTGAAACGAAAAGTAATGTACTTATCTTAACCCGAACGATGATATTTTACTAAACCCAACCAGCTAGTTTGGAAACGCCCAAGTTGCCAAGAGCATTCAAAACACATAACATTGAAATACACAGATCTAGAAATGTTGACATTTGGTTGCGATTCAACGTATCCGTGGTTTGCAGAAACGTACAATGCCAACATTTCACTCTGGCAACCGAGTTGCACCAATTGACAAAAGCGACTCTTGTTGCTCTTTGTCTGCTGGATGCGTAAATAAACAACGGTCTGCCAACATGTGCATCATATCAACTTTATAAGGTGATAATAAGTCAATATTGTGTTTGCAGCTTGTTGCGCTGCCACCAAGTGGCCAAGAAACAAAAAACTATGAATGTAGGTTTAACTAGTGTTTGTTTAAGTGTGACATTTTAGTCATTCTATGCATCTATTGTGATTGATTTTATAGGAATTCTTATTAAACACTACAACTGCATACTGTTAAACCAGATAAAGCTATTGCATTCTTGGGAGGTGAGAAACACGCAGCAAACAATTTAAAGAAAGTGAAATGGAAAAGAGGAGAACTAATAGCTGAGACAGGCAGAGTGGCAGCATCAGAGACTCCCCTGGGAGTGTGTGATTAAACCCACCACATCCAGTTCCCCTCTATTATCATCAGCCACCGCTGGCCCCTTGCCTGGCCCTCCACCAGCAGCATAGCCTTACTAGACAAACAAGGCCTGGACGCTGCGGATCGCTGCTGCCCACAGCACGCTACTGCTTACATGACATCACTGCTATTTAAGGAAAATTACAGTAGAAGTAGATGCAGACAGTCTGATTTTGCAGGTTTCACTGCTGGCCTACTGCTGTTGGCTTCCAAGTATACCACACAAACAAGCATGTGCTCAGTCTCAGACACACACTCACACTCACAGCTACACCTCTGGTTGCCAGATAGATTATAGGTCTATTGTAAGTAAATCCTTTACTGTTCCAACAGCAGCCCGCAGCCACCAGGTCCAGACTGTCTGTGTGTGTTTCTGTGTCAGTCTGAGGCTTTTCAACACCTGAGTGGAGACGGGAGACGTTTTTGTTACCACACACACCAATAAATTAGTCTGTACCTGGACTGTAGTTCGCTCCTCTAATACAAATATTAAAGGCACTGTTTCTCTGCATATATGAGTTTATTTGTGTTTCTAGGACCCCGGTCGTGTTTTCTCAGGCCCAGTGTGTGTTTCAGGTTGATTGGAGGTGAAAGAACATGTGCGTATAACATTTATTTCAAAGAGTATTCCTAAGGAGACATTATTACAATCAAGACAGCCATACTTTGTAGCTCTGAGTGTGACTGTGTGTACTATCCTGACCTTCCTTAATCGCACACTCAAAGTATTTGTTTTTAATACAAGTTATTGTAAAAATAAGAGTATGCCCTCTTCCCTGTAATTCATTTTTATTTTTAGAACTATGGAAAACTTCTCCGTAGGCCTGAAATGTCATGTCCTCGGCAAACTAAGAAAATGTCAAACAGAAGAGAAGATTAAAAAAAAAAAGGAGCAAGCAGACCACAAACCTGCTGACCAGATGCAACAAACCATCTGTCTGCACTTGTAGAAATCTCCTCCAGATCAAAAACATCATAAATGGCTCAAACACTGGAAAACACTTCAACAAGTTTATTAACCGAAAACGGAATCATAAAACCTTGTTTATCTAGACCTATACAGTGAAAGCATGTCATTTGTTGCAAAGGCAGTTTGAACCGTTTGAGAATATTAATATAAAACGGTGACATTATTCTGGAATAAAGTGTATCACAATATTTAAGTTGCTAATATTAAACTTTAGGGCGTTTTTTGGCCATGATGTGCTTTTTCCTGGTCCAGACATTTGAACGCCCGCTCCACCGAGTTTGAATGTTTTGATTCATCAGACGTCGAAACAGCGGATCTCATTTAAAAAGCAATCCACCGATAAGCGCAGCAGGGGGGCTAGCGATTAGCCAATCAATGCCAGGGGCGGGACTAATGCCATTGACGAGCTCTTCTCTCTGGCGTAGCTTCTTTTCTGGCGTCTTTGTTGGTGAATCACGCTCCCTCCTCGCTACTCTTCCTTCTTCATTTGTGTCAGTAACTGTCACGTTATGCTCCGACTGCCACCTCCTTACATCACATTCTGAATCGTCAACACAAATCCTCCCAGAATAGAGGCTATGGGAGAATTAACCCGACATCTCTGAGTCGTGGCCTCTCTTTCGCGTTTGGCTTAATAACAGTTTTGAACTTGATATGACCCTCTTAATTTACAAAATCCATTTTATGTCATATCTTAATATCAACCAAAATCCCCCCCCCCCCCCCATGAAAGTAGCTACGGAATTCAGTATCTACCTGAAGAGTGCCTTGGAATTCCCTCTTTTCTTCATTTAAAATACAAACGGACGAGCCGAAGAACACTTTTATAACACCAACAGACTGAAACCTATTAGAAATCTATGTCCTCTTTTGCTTTCTCCGTTTCCTTCATCCATCCGGAGGCTTAATGTCGGAGTAAATGCGTTAGGATAGATACGTGTTGGAGTGAACCAAGCTCCTGTTCCAAACAAGATTAGACGAGTGCTTCAGAAGACATCAGAGCGCTGCCTGCATTGATCCAGCCTGCTCCTTTTATAGCAGCTTACCTTTCAACAGTGTGTGGCTCTAATGCTTCCACCAGCAGCCTGAAATGGCTCCAGCATTGATATCACTGATCCTCCAGACGGCCTTTAACAGTTAGAGGAAAGGCCATTAAACCAACTGATGTGAGTTTTTGTATGTTGCATGAAGGGCAGAAAGAAACTGAGAAAGAGGAACCAAGCTCATGTTAAAGCAATATTTTATTTATTTGTATCACCTTTTATAAAGATGTATTGGCTAAAGGGTTAGCAAGTTGTTGTCCATTCACAAATCCGGGAGATGCAGAGTAACATTAGCTTCAACCCGCGCTAACTCCCAAACTTCTGTTTTGTACATAAAGGTCAGTTTCATAACAAGCATACTTACTTTACGCAATAAACGTACTTCTTTTAACCCAACGGGGGAAGAGGGGGGACGTTTATATTGGTCAAACAAATACAGAGAAAGCAAAATTAGTACTTAGTTTACGTACTTATTTGAAGCCCAACCAAGTAGTTTTGTTGACTAAACATCACAGCAAGCGTTTCACGTGACCAGCGTGGTGTTGAATGGCACATGAAAAGCTTAAAAAAGCGTATAGATCGCATCGGTAAATCTGTTCGGAACTAACGAGTCGGTCAATAATTCTCCACGGTTTCAGCGCGAGAGGTGACCACTTTGAAAACACGCGTAGTTATTTGATCCTATCATTATTGGATCATTATTACTCCTCTGTTCCTTTTTAATCTGTGGATGTTTTATTGTAGTCAATAATTTATATGACGAGTTCACAGTGGGGGGACGGCACCATCGGAGGTGGCTAGCCTTTAATAGCTGGTTGCAGTAATTACTGTTGGCATCTCCCACTAGGGAGCAGCTCAGAACAGAGTGCTTGGCATTATGACACACACACACACACACATATCCACATATCCACAGAGGGTGCCACTTATAATGAACTCAAAGGGATTAACATCAGATTACACAGTGTGAAACTCACTAAGAGCTTCTGTCTCATTAGATATGAAAATGAAAGACACTGTCCTGTCTTCCACTCTCCGTCTCTCTCCGTCTCTCTCAATCACTCCCCGCTCCACTCTCCTAATATTGCCATCAGCCCTGTGGCCCTCAGCGACCCCCCCCCCCCCCAATCCATCTCATTGAGTCTGCGTGATGATTTCTCAGCTGAGCTGTTATGATAGAGGTAACGGCTGCTGTCTCCCCTTCTGGATTCATCGCTCTAGTTAATGCACTCTTGAGTCTCGTTACATCCAATTATACAATGTGGGTAATGGCCTATTTCTCCACGAGAACTTTCTCCTGCACTGAATACATTAGTGGAAGTGGAAGTAAATGGATTTTATGGAAGAATTTCGGCCTATTTTAAGCTAATCTACAAACGCTGGAGGTCAAGGATCAACAATGACGAGTCTTAATTTCAATAACGTAACACTAGCTTCGTATGACAACCTGAAAATTATAGTGTAATTATTTTACAATTCACTCATATACTACTACTGATACACTATAATCATTTCAAAATAATTAAGGGGTACAATAAAACATTTATGGATGACTGAACATCTTATAATAAAGGAGTAACAACTTGTAAATGATGGTGAATTACAGGATATTTATAAAATAATTACAGGGTACAGTGATGTATGAGAAACCACAAAAAAGGCCAGCTATATTTTTCTTTATTACGAGGAGCTCATTGTTTGCCCTGCATTTAAGGGCTGTGATCCAAAGCATGTCTGAAGCGAGCTGCAGTCGTGGACTAATTATGGCGGTGACAAAACTGAGCTAATTGATTTTACGAGTTGTGTTCCGACATATTTAATTGGACAGGATTTCCAGAAGGCAGCGTGAACCGTCTCCCTCAGTTCAAGTTCTCCTTCTATGAGATGCTGCTGTGACCTTCACGATGATGAACAATCATTCTTGTATAACATGACGCTGCAGAAACTCTCGGTGAACGACTTCGTTGCTTTGAAGAATCTGTGGAAAGTGAAGGCAGACACCTTTGGGGCTTTCAGTAATGATCATTGGTGCGTGTACACACACACACACTCAGCACATCGGTAGGTGTTGCAGATGGAAAATTAGCCACTCAGGTTGACAGTTCCTCAGGCGAATACCGGGCTCATTTAAGAAGGCGCAGGGTGATTTACAAGGGATTATGCAGCCAGCAAGCGAGGCAGTTGCCAGCAGCTCGCTGCAGCCGGGGCCGAGACGGAAAGTGTATTACATACGAGGAAGCGTCCCGTGGCTAGGACACTGGTATTTTTTCCACATGCTACCAGGGTTATTTTAATGAGATTGGACCTTTTCTGGCAGACAGAAGAGACAATGTAGCTGGTGCCATTTCCACCCTCGTCTGGCATGACTGGAATGCTGCAGTCAGTCACTCCGAGTGTGATGGAGAGGCAGAGATCGGATGACCTGCGCCGAATAAGAGGGCTGACTCTCGGGGATGAACACTGGATACCAGAGAGGTGGACTCCGGTCACATGACTTGGACTCGAGTCAGTAGAGTCACAATTTTTATGACTTTATACTCGACTTGGACTTAAACACCGACGATTACTTGGACTTGAGCCTCTTGACTTTAAAATACCTGATACCTTTTCTGAAGCCCAAAAGCATTACAAGTATGTTATTTAAAAAGTGTGACACAAACCATTTCAATCAGGAGAGACTTCATTAGAGTTGAACAATAATTTATTACACATGCATAATGAAATGATTAGTGAGGAGTGTTTGCCGACTCCATCGTGACGTAGTATATTAAAACGGGGTATTGATGCTGTGGTTGGATGGAGAATATTCCCCCTGGAGTCTGGACACTGGTGGTGGTGGTGATGAAGGCACATGCTGGAGATCCAGTGAGGGGATGAGTAGCAGGACTGGGCACTGCATATGATGGAGACTTGAGGTGAATGTGGTGGAGGACGGTCGCATCAAATAAATAGACATTTTGAAAAGCATTCACCGGTTTTGTTAATATATTGCTGCTCTTGTTAAAATGGCCTTACATTTGGTGAAGAGCTCATTATGACTTGTTTAGGAAGCTAAACTCACAGTTCAGGACCTGGTACTTGACTTGTGACTTTAGTGGAAAGGCTTGAGAATTGCAAAATAATGACTTGGTCCCAACTCTGCTCAATACTTGCGACCATCTTCTTTCCCCCTTGCTGTTGTCTCACTGTTGATCTCTATTAGTAACCCTGACTCTTGTATCCCTGTGCTTCTCCTTTCCCTCAGTAATCCGCTCCCGTTTCTAACAGCCTGCCTCTTCTTCTGTCTCTCCACCAGGCCTTCCCTCTCAGCTCTCTAGCGAAGAAGCAGCCAACAGTGCTGGTGATCTGTGGTCCAGATCAAAACGGCTCCATTGGCCTGGTGTGTGCCCGACACCTGCGCATGTATGTAAGTAAACTATTGCACAAAGTGTAGCCAACAATCATCAGTGGATTGTGAGACAATGGGCCTCGAAAAGGCCGCACTACCTCTCCTACAAACAGTAGGAACACATTATAGTGGTTTAGCCTCTTTTTGTTGTTGTTTTGTGTCTCTTTGTGGTATTTTTTGTCACTTTATAATTGTTGTAGTCTTTTTGTTGTTTTTCATGTCTATGTAGTGTTTTTGTGTGTCATTTTGAGTCTCTCTGTGGTCATTTAAAGGCTGTTTGTAGTTGCTTTGTGTGTCTTTGTAGTCATTTTGTGAATCTTTGTGGTTGTTTTTGGCCCTTTTCACAGTTGTTTGTGAGTGTCTTTGTGGTATCTTTGCAGCCGTTTTATTTTATCGTTCTAGTTGTTTTTGGTTATTTTTTGTCTCTTTGTGTTCATTTGGTGTCAATTTGTAGTTGCTTCTTTGGGTCTTTGTGGTTGTTTTGACCCTTTTCACAGCTGTTTATCTCTTTGTAGGTCTATTTATAGTCTTTTTTTCGGTCTCTTTGCAGCCGTTTTTTTGTCTTGTGGTCATTTTGGGCCTCTTCCTGGTTGGTCCATGTCTCTTTGAGCGACATATTGTCGGTGAAGTCCAGGGGAGGCCCTGGCCTGTGCCCAGTAGGCCTGTTCAGTAATCCATCAATGCCAACAATAACTCTTTCAGTGCACAAAACCAGCTATTGTATTCAACCACACCACTAATAATCCATTGGAAAACACAGTCTGAGTCATTTAGATGATATCACACTAGAAAAAACAAACTTGCATCAGGACTAATGGGGGACCCCCATATACGGGCCCTCTGTGCTTTACAGTTTGATTTCAGCTCCTGTAAAGGGCTCAGAGCAGTTATCCTATTACCCCCCCTGCAAGGGCACTCAGACAATCATGATATCATGCTATTGTTACTCTCGTTAAAGCCGTCTGCCTCTTACGCTCGGCAGCCACAATATGATGTCATGACCAAGATGTCTGCCCTTCAGGCCACATGCTGACTGACATTTTGACATTTGAAGACTAATTGTTTTTGGACGTGGGATTCATCCCCTTGAAACTCATTACAGATCACATGACCTGAAGAAAAAGGAGTCTCTTTCTCACAGTTTATGTCAGTACTCGGTGCTGTAGTCCCGCCCATGTCTATGACTTTATTGGAAGGGAAATATTGGATGTGTGTTTTTGGGATCTTTGGTTTAGAGCGGAATGCATCTATACACTTTACCATATGTGTCTGACGCGCTTGATTTACTGTGCATTGATAGTTCTGATTAAAACCATGTTAGATGGACTCTGATGGCTCTCTGTGGAGCTTCTCTCTCTCTTCCCTCTGTCTTTTTCTTTCTTGAGGCCAAGCACAAGAGGTTACAGGTCAGCTCCAAGGGAGATATATATTTTACCCTGACATTCCAGAAATGAAGCTTATCCATAACGTTAAAAAAGCAAAAACAATTAGGCATTGATTCCGTCTTTTTAAATATATATTTTCTGCGCTATTTCATGTCTTTGTTTCTAATGTTTTCACCATCTGCTCCTGTCTTTTTCTCTGCTTTTGTCTCCTATTCTGAAACATTTTACTGGATCTTAAAATTGTGCGTTATTATTATTTTCAAAGTGACTGCGCTCTACAGTAGGCCGACTGGGACCACACATGTCTGACTCTCTGCTCTAACTTCAGAAACTCGAGTACTTACTTTGGACTGTGAAAGAGTGTGTGTGTTTTTCATGGTGCGATGTGATCCCTGTCAGCAGGAAGACATGCAAGCATACACGTGAGACATGCACGTTAACACACCACACACACACACACACACACACACACACACACACACACACACACACACACACACACACACA